GGTAGGCCCGGTCCACCCTGGGAAAGGCTGCATCGGTGGGGGGGGACCTCCGGAGGCCTTCCCCGCCGCCATGGGAGGCATCTTGGAGGTCCCCCCCACACCGATAGTGCTTTGGAGGCACTATCGGTGGTGGTGGTGGAGCTCCGAGATGCCTCCCATGGTGGCACAGAAGCTCTGGAAGGCATCTGGAGGCATGACCTGCGGCCTACGGACTGGAAGGGGGGGGCGGGGAAAGCGCCAAATATGAATTTGATGCTTTCCCTGCCTCCCCCTTCTGGTCCGTAGGTCGATTCTCCGGCCGCAAGTTGAAGTGAAACTTTGTGGCCGGAGAAGTACGTAGGTGGAAATGTACGTAAGTAGAGCCATCTGTAAGTCAAGACTCCACTGTAGTGTCCTTTCCTCCAAAAGAGGGGCTGAGTGTAATTATTGTATGTTGTGTTTTTAATGGGCCATTGCTCAGATTGACAACTCCCCTATGAAGTCTGTACTGATCCTGTCTCCCATTATTATTCCTTATTTGAATTTCTACTGAACAACTACTTGCTCTTAGAGAAACCAGATGAAAGAGACAAGAGGGTTCCTGGGCTCATAATAGTTGCTTAAAAGAGGTCATTTTTTCAAGGGCACATTTTAATGGAACCTGAACCTGCCTAACATTCTGCCTCCAGATATGTAGGAAAGGTACAAGAATCCTGTCCTTTTTTCATCTGCTCATCCTACCTACTCTTACAGTTAAATTACAGTAACAGTTAAAAATAATCACTCATCTTTGAACTTGATTTTTTTCTCATTTCTCCTGGACCAGTTTATCCTTACAATATTGTCTATTTAATTTATTAAAAACTTGTGAAAATTGATTCCAGTTTACATTTCCATGGGAAAAAATAACTTACTTTTTCAGCAAGTTCCACAGCAGTAATATTTGGATCATATGGGATGGGTTCTCCTAGATATGTGCGTAATTTAACAGGAAAACCTCCATAGATTGGAATAGGTATACATCGGGTTTTTTCATATAGCCATCTCATCAGTTCTGTATAGAAAATAAAATGTTCATTTTAGACAAAGTCATCTGATACAAACCTTGAAAATAGTCAATATCCTGAATGTTCATGATTGCAATAATCCAGCTGAAGCCATGAGTGCTAGTAATAGGATTACATATACCACAAATAATAAAAAATTACATGTCCTGTTAATTGAGTAACGCTGCAGTTAAAATTCCTCACAAAAGTACAGTTTCACACCTCCTAAAACTCAATGGGAGAGAGAACACACCCCTCCGTGGAAGTACCATAAACATCAATTGAGATATACAGTACATGAGTATGCACATGTTTTCCATGAAAAGATACACTGCTAACCTGTTGAACTGTGGATGCAGACTGGCCAGGGAAACACAAATTGACTGTTTAAACAGCTTATTAATGGAGAACAAAGGCCACAACTTTATTAGCTACAGGAGAACACCAATGGTGCAGCATGAGGAGTGTCGTCAAGCATCAGGTGAAGCTGGATACACCCTGGGTTTCAACTAAAGTCAGCCACTACCATTTGATATATAGGACTGAGGCAGGCCTCACAAGCCAGATCCGCCATCACTGATCCAAACCAAATCACAGGGTCTGGATGCCTTCTTCTCCTCACAATAGATTTGCTTCTATGTGCAAAAACCAGTTAATTTCACTAACCATGAAATAGTGACAATGCAAGAAAAAAAATCACTTACGTATTCTTCCAAATCCTCTGCATACTTCTTGAATATTTTGTGTAAACATGGGGATAATGGGCTAAAAAGAAAGACAAAGAAGTAGAGAGAGAAAGAGCTGAGAAATATTTCCGTTGTCACAAATAGCCCTCCCATGAATGATCCAAGTATTAAGTAACTGAACAGCAAAGGACCCTAGATTTAAAAATGTATTCTTTCGAGAGAACTACAGGGACTTTAAAGAATGGAATACAACAATTTAAACAGATTTCCCCTTGAAATAGTCACAAATGGGTTTCTTCTTCCTTTCACTCATATTAAATTTGTTATAGTGATCATGGGGCCTCCAAACATTTGAGCGTGAGGGCCACATCGCCATATTAAATTTGTTATAGTGATCATGTCTTTCTTGTGGAAAAAAACCAGAGAGAGCCATGTGACCAAGGGCCTCCACATCGATGTGAGGGCCACATCGTATATTTTCAACATTATTGTGGGACAAAGGAATGTGCATGTGTGTGCATGGCTGCAGGCATGCACACACCCCTCATGCATGGACAGATGCCTGCCGGGACGCCTGCCTGCACAGATGTCCGCCTGCTTGCCCACATGGAGGCCCCTCACGCCTTCCCCCCCATGCCTGCCTCTGCACATATGCATGGACACCCGCTTGCCTATACCCCTGCAGGCCCCTCCACACAGGCACATCATGAAGGAAATGGGCTGGATAAAACAGCAAGGGCTTGGGCTGTAGTTTGGAGGCACCTGCTTTAGACAATACCAATGTAGGAGAGGTGATAACTTTATTTAGACCACTAAAAATGAAACAAAGGTATCATCTTTCCCACATCTAATATTTAGGTTAGACTAGAACTGAAGTTACATTCCTATAAGGGTTGAAGACTATTCTTTTAAAAAAGGCACTTTGCTTTACTTTATCCTATTTTTTTTCCTGCCAGGTAAAAATGACTGAATTATATTCATAGTTATATTTAGTGAACTAGAAGGTAATAGTCCTAGAGTGTGCTTCTGTTTATTATCTTGAAACTTACTATCTTTTTTTCCTCATCAAAGGGTGTGATTGCACTGCAGAATGCCATGCAGCTTGTGTCAAAGTTTTCTTAACTGGTCAGGGACTACCAGCAATAGTTTTCGCAGCTGAAAATACCTGTATTATACTCATCCATAAGATTAATTACTTAGGTTCAAGAGTCCACATCATATTTCCCATTTTGTACAATTTTCAGTGGGTTCACAGCCTCATCCTATTAGCACCACTATCTTCTCTACTTCTTCTCTTTATTCTGCCTCTTTATGTGGAAACATAACATTCAGTTAGGATGTTTTCCCGCTCCTTTTTTGAAGTGACATAGCAGTAGTTCTGACTGCTTCTCTTAATTCTCTTGCTCTTCTTATTTAGTTAGCAGCTGCACTAGCTGTGGGGAAGTTTAGAGTTACAGAATTAATGTTATTAAAAGTGATTTATATTTACACAGTTGGCAGACATGGAGGTGAAGAACATGCATCTTTTTGACAAGGCCCTCCCTAGCTAGAAAATTACCTGGTCATTCTCATGGTATGTCAGACATGCATGTGGGTGGCTGGGGCTTCTTTTTCTCCTGCTTCTGTAGCTATTGTAGCAAGAGGTGAGGAGAAAGCTGCCCAGCAACTCACCTTTTGCAGTACCTAGCAAGGCAGCAGCAAAACCCATGGCATGTTCCTTTACCTCAAAGTCACATGGACATTATCTGGTTAGGAGACAGACTTTGGCTTAGTCACAATTGCTATAGGGAGGAAGTAATGAGGGTGAAGAGAGAAAGAGGAAGGAAGGAAGGGTCTCTCTCTTTCTGACTGACCTAACTTTTTTTACCACAGAGATTAGCCAAATTAGCCCTTTTCCATATTAAGTCTATCATTGCTGCGTCTTTCCCTCTTTCTCCTTCTCTTGAGGAGCAGGAAGACACACAGAGAGATTGAGAGAGAGAAAGGGAGGAATTTATGGAAGAAAACTTGAGGGATCTGTTTCATAGAGTCACAGATTTGGAAGAGACCACAGGGGCCATTGAGTCCAACCCCCTGACATGCAGGAACTCCAGCAAAGCACCCCCACTCCCGACAGATGGCCACCCAGCCTCTGCATAAAAACCTCCAAAGAAAGAGACTCCACCACACTCAGAGGCAGCATATTCCACTGCTGACCAGCTCTGACTGTCAGGAAGTTCTTCCTGAGATTGAGGTTGAATCTTTTTTTCCTATAGTGTGAAACCATTGCTCCTTGTTCTAGTGTCTGGAGCAATGGAAAACAAACTTGTCCCTTTGTCAACATGACACCCCTTGAAATATTTAAACATGGCTATCATATCCCCTCGTAACCTTCTTTTTGTAAGGCTAAACTTTCCCAGCTCCCTAAGCCGCTTCTCATAGGACATGGCTTCCAGACCTTTGACCATTTTGGTCGCTGTTCTCTGGACACTGTTCCAGGTTGTCAACATCCTTCTTGAATTGAAGTGCCCAGGTGAGGTCTGACCAAAGCAGAATAGACTGGTACTATCATATCCCTTGATCTAAACACTATACTCCTATTGATGCAACCAAGAATTGCATTGCTTTTTTTGCCAGCCACATCACACTGCTGACTCATGTTCAGTTTGTGGTCTAGCAAGACTCCTAGATCCCTTTCACAGGTACTGTTGTCTAGCCAGGTGTCTTCCATCCTATATCAGTGCCGTTCATTTTTTCTGCCTAGTTGTAGGACCTTACATTTCTCCCTGTTGAAATTTATTTTGTTAGTTTTGGCCCAGGACTCTAATCTGTCAAGGTCATTTTGAATTTTAATCCTGTCCTCTGGGGAATTAGCACTCCCTCTCAATTTGGTATCATCTGTAAATTTAATCAGCATACTCTCTAGTCCTTCATCCAAATCATTGATAAAGATGTTGAATAGCACAGGGCCCAGAAGAGAATCCTGAGGCACCCCATTAGTTACCTCTCTCCAGGATGAAGAGAAGACATTGGTAAGCACCCTTTGGGTTTGGTCAGTCAACCAATTACAAATCCACTGAATAGTAGCACTGTCTAGCCCACATTTTACTAGCTTCCTTGCAAGAATATCTTGGGGAATTTTATCAAAGACTTTACTGAAATCAAGATGTGCTTACATCCACAGCGTTCTCTTCATCCACCAGGCCTGTAACTCTATTTAAAAAAAGAGATCAGTGTGGCATGACTTGTTTTTGAGAAACCCTGTTGACTTTTAGTGATGACAGCATTGCTTTATAAGTAATAACAAATTGTCTGTTTAATTATCTGCTCTAGAATTTTTCCAGGAATTGATGTCAGGCTGACTGGGTGATAATTATCTGGGTCTACTTTTTTCCCCTTTTTGAAAATAGGGACAACATTTGCCCTCCTCCAGTCTGTGGGGACTTCTCCCGTTCTCCAAGAATTCTCAAATATTATTGCCAATGGTTCTGAAATTACTTCAGCCAATTCTTTTAATATCCCTGGATGTAAATTGTCTGGCCCTGGAGACTTGAATTCATTTAGAGTAGCCAGATATTCCTGTACTACTTCTCTACCTATTCTGTGCTGCATTCCCCACACTACATCACCTGTTCTTCACCCCTAAGCACTATCTTCCCTCTTGGAGAAAACTGAGGTAAAGAAGGTGTTGAGAAGTTCAACCTTTTCCCTGTCCTCTGTTAACAGTTGGGCATCTTTTCCACTCAGCAACCCTATCATTTCCTTGTTTTTCCTTCTGCTGTGAGCATAACTAAAAAAGGGCTCTTTTTATTGTTTTTAATCTGTCTGGCAAGCCTGAGTTCATTCTGCACTTTTGCTTTTCTTACCTTCCCTTTATATATACTATTTGCTTGTATTCCTCTTTGGTGTTTTTCCCATTTTTCCATTTCTTGTACATTTTTTAACACTTAGTTGAGCTGAAAGTTCTTTAGTCAATCATTCTGGTTTCTTTAGGCATCTCCCGTTTTTCCTTCTTATTGGAACAGTTTTAGATTGTGTCTTTAGTATGTTCCTTTTAAGAAATTCCCATCTATCCTGATAGAAAGAACTTTCAGTATCTTTGTCCATGGAATTACAGCCAGTAATTCCCTAAGTTCACTGAAATTGGCCTTCTTAAAGTCTAGAATGCATGTTTGGCTACACTTGGCAACTCCCTGCTTGTGTAAAAACATGGGCAGGATCAGGAAAAGGGAGAAAAGAATGAAAGTGAGATGAGCAAAAACACCAGTCTGAGAGTGGGATTCTGACTGAAGAATCATTCATGGGATGAGCAATGCAGGGCACAACATGCTTGCTCTCCCTCCTCTGTCACTGTATGGTAAGGAAAGCAGGACCAGCAAGAGAGGTGAAGGCAGCAGGTAGCCTTTGCCAGTCTGAGAGTGGGATGAGCAATGCAGGGCACAGCAGGCTTGCTTTCCCTCCTCTGCCACTGTATGGTAAGGAAAGCAGGACCAGCTGCGCCAGGCAAGAGAGGTGAAGGCAGCAGGTAGCCTTGAGATGATTAAAGATGGGGAGCAGGAGATCGTATGTGGATGGAACCTCATTCTCTGGGGAGACTCAGTCCCAAAGTCCAAAGATAAGGCAATTCCACAGTAGAAGTCCTGTGGCCAAAATAAAGGCATACAAGGCTAAGTTGGTTGTGAATCCTAATAGGGGCGGAACATACCTGTCTTGCAGTTTGGACTCTTCCCCCCACCCGCCTCCTTCTCAGTAATATAGCACTAAACTGAAAAGATAATTAGTCTAATGCAGAGGTGAGGCTGTTTCATTAAATGCTAAAAATTGTAACAGGACCTATTCTCCAAAGGAAACACCGGGCATACCATTTGCAGCAAGCAAAATAAGCAGTACAGCATTTATCTGTATTGACAGGCATATTTTACAAGTTGAAATAAATTTGAAAAGAGGGGTTTCTTTGAGGGGGACTATCCTATGGTAGTGGTATACATACACACACACACACACACACACACAAACACACAAACATTAAAAAAGGATTGCCATCGAAATTGTATTAAACAACCAACCACCTGAAGCCTGAACAAAAAGACACAAATGCTGCTAAAAAAGTGCTGTCTTTCACATGAATAGCTTTACATTGTTTACTCAGCAGAAAATGAACTAGTGTTAACCATGCCAACTCTAACAGAAACTGTGAGGTATTTTGCAGTGTAGTCACCCAAGTGCATTTCTTTAACTGTACCTGGCAGGATATCTTGGATAGGCTTATGGGGTGTGTGTGTGTGTGGGGGGGGGGACGGGACATAGTGACCACTCACCACTTTGGCTTCCAAAGCAACTTGAGCAAAACCTGTGCGTTTACCCCAGAGGAGATTATAATGCTCATCACTGAAGAATGCTTCTCTTTCTCCACCAGGTGCAATCCCAAGTAAATGGCCTTTCTTCAGCATTTCTACACATTCAGCTTTGCTACCAGGTATGCAACCAACCAGTTGAAAAAGAGGCTTCAATCCTGTTATAAAGGCATGTTTTACAAATTGTTGAAAGCAGGGATATCTTTTATTTAATTTGCCGAGCAACAACCAGTATGTGTTCTTTCCTTGGCAAATGGTATTTCACCTTCTTATACTTTGTAGATAATGCTGTATAGAACATTTTTAACCATTTGCAGAATGGTCAGAGTATAAAGACATGGTCACAAGATGCGAGGTGGGGCAAAGATACATCTGGAGAAGCCCCCTTTCACAGTGCTTTGGAATATACTGAAGGATGTGGCTTTGGAGACAAGAGAAGAGGTAGGGGTGCATTTTTTTAAGTGCATCTGCTCCCAAACCTCTGGTCCTGCTGCAGTAACATGAAATCTCATCCACTTCCTTCCCAGAGAAGGTGGAGCAGAAGAAAATTGCAGGATCCTGACCTTTCTGGGATTTATTAAATACTCCCTTTCAGATTTCTAGTTTTCTCACCTTCCCCTGAGCAAGAGTTTTCCCCACTTGAAAGTGGATGCCGAATTCAGCAACAAACATTTAAAGTGCAGTGCATTTCAATTATTGTAAGCCGCCCAGAGACCTCTGGGTAGAGTGGGTGGCATATAAAACAAACAAACAAACAAACAAACAAACAAACAAACAAACAAACAAACAAACAAACAAACAAACAAACAAACAAACAAACAAACAAACAAACAAACAAACAAACAAACAAACAAACAAACAAACAAACAAACAAACAAACAAACAAACAAACAAACAAACAAACAAACAAACAAACAAACAAACAAACAAACAAACAAACAAACAAACAAACAAACAAACAAACAAACAAACAAACAAACAAACAAACAAACAAACAAACAAACAAACAAACAAACAAACAAACAAACAAACAAACAAACAAACAGTGGTTCCCACCCTTTTTTGAGTCAGGACCTCCTTTTATAATAGCCAAGTAACGTGAAATCCCCCCACCATATTTGCATAAAATGGCACTTTAATAGGATAAAATCATCCCTTCTCAGAAAGTAGAGGCTTCTTTCTCCCCCCAAGCACCTGTTTCTCATACATACAGATACACACTAACTTCAATATCCTGCTCTGAAAGGTCAAGAAACAAATTATTGAACAAGGGCTACAACATATATGTGGTGACCTGTGACCCCCCCAAACACTTTGCAACACCTGAACTATTCAGCAATATTTTAATTCTAAATGTAGAGATAAAGGTGCAGTACCTGGTATGCTGAACAAATTCTTCAAAGTTACTGTAATACATTTTTTCCCTTTCTGTACATACAGTTTACAGAATAATAATACATAGTCTATGTCGAAAGTTCCATGATAGAAAACAATAATTGCTGGTCCTTCTGGTAGATGTTCCATCCCTATAATCTCATGATCTGGAAAATATAAAAAGTTCAACAAAGCATGCTGCTTATATACTGCCCCATAGTGCATCAAGCACTCTCTGGGCGGTTTACAAGTTAATTATGCAGGCTACACATCCCTCCCCCCAGTAAGCTGGGTACTCATTTTACCGACCTCGGAAGGATAGAAGGCTGAGTCAACCTTGAGCTGCTATTTGGGATTGAACCCCAGGTCGTGAGCACAGTTTTGTGCCACTGCGCCATGAGACTTATATGCATTAACAAGTCACATGCATTTAAAAAGTTAGTTAAATGGGATATGCCACTTATTTATCAAGTGAAAACAAAGGAAAGTGAAGAAGAACTAAGGTAAAAAACCACAGCCCCAATCACAATTCAGTAGGAGCAGGTTTTTGTACTAGTTTTGAATTATGGAAGAGCTTCCATAATCCATATAGAAATTGGTTCTGCACGACAGTTGTGCTTGTGGGAACATGCAGAACCAGTTTTCACCCATCAAACATTTTAGTAGTTCATGGTTGTATCCTGTTGCTGAGCAATGGTGGCTGAAAAGCTTGGTTAAACAGTTTTGGTTGGAAGCTTTCAATTTAGCTCATGTTTGGTTAAGTGATTAACTGATGGAAGTTTTGGTTGGAAGCTTTCAATTTAGCTCTATTTCACAGTGCTTAACCCTCCTCACAGAAATCTAGCAGAATTTTCCTCTGTTGGCATAATAGCAGTACTGCATGCTTTAACACTTGCTATGTGACAACAACCAAAATATATTTCAGTACCTTTTATGTATTTGGTTAAATTCTGGATGATAAAGGAATTTTAAATAGCAATTTGGGTCCCTGTGTGCTGGAGCCCCTCTTTTTTCTGACTGTAACCACAAATGATAACTGTAAGTAAAGCTATTTTTAAAAAACTTGAAACGCTTCTAGAATAACTAGAATAACTAACCAAAAGTGTCTCAGCTAACTAAAGGAACAACCAACTTCTAGAAAGCTTTTTCCCAAAAATCCCCAACACTTCCTTCGATGATGCTTGTGCAAGGGGAATCTCATACACCCTGTCACAAGTGGGGTGTAAGTCTTTTGCCTGCAAGCAAAAAGCAAAGTAAACTATGGATTAATATGTGTCTAAATTAAGAAAGTTGAGTAAGAACTGTGGATTCGGTCACTTGAAAGATATCCTGTTTGCTTCCTCTGTGATGTTAGACCTGATGTCCTCAAAGGGTAGCTTCTTCCTTAAGGAAATCTGCCTCTGGACAAAAATGTCTAAATTTCTGAGCCTTTAAATCTGAAAATGCTGTCAAAGAAGGTGAATTACATGCCTTTCATATGAAGGTATAGAATATTAACAAGCCAGGCTCAAAAGAGGAGCCATTTCCCTCACAAATGATTGGGGAGGGGAGGGATACAAAAGAGCTCCGTGTGAAAACTGCAATGGAGCCTGGGTCTGATAAGTCAGGTTGGCCAAACAGGGCATTTGTTCTAGAGTTGGTTTCACCTCAGGTATGTCCAGACTGGACCTTTTGGTGTGGGCTGATGCAGTCTAAATAAGGTCAGTTGAGTTTGTGGAAGTCTGGAAGGACAGATCCTGAAGCTGAGGCTCCAGTACTTTGGCCATCTCATGAGAAGAAAAGAGTCCTTGGAAAAAACCCTGATGTTAGGAAGGTGTGACGGCAAGAGGAGAAGGGGACGACCGAGGATGAGATGGCTGGACAGTGTCGGCGAAGCAACCAACATGTGGAATGATCCTCGCATCCAAATAGTGTATTGACCTCAAGTGAACCTATTTCTGGTATCCTGAAGTGGCATGTTTGTGCAAAGCTGGAGTTTAGGAGAAAGGAAAGGGGGTAGGTTCATGTATAGCTGGGAATGACAGGCAGCACAGACAGCAAAAGGGATGGAGGCAAGCTACACATGGGGATATAAAGGGAGGGGGAAGGAGCCTATTACAATCCAAAAGTAGACAGGCACCCATCTATCCTTTGCTTCCCCTTTGGTTACCAGAGTTTGGAGATGGGGAGGAGGGGAAGAGAGAAAGGGATATGACATGAGAGAAGGGGATGCATCATCTCCCAGTGATCTCACTATTGGAGACAAAAGAAAGGGTTCCCCTCATTTTGTGTCTTGTATTGCAGAGAGAGAGGGAGGGAAGGAGGGGGGGGAGGAGGAGGACAGGGATTGCTTTGAAGGCACAAAAGAGATTTTAAAAGGATAGGGAGACCTCTCTAAAAGCATCTCTGTGTTGGCGTAAAATAAAATAAAAACCCTTAACCCTCTGCTGTAGATCCATGCACACCTTCTCATTCACACTTTGTCTTCCAGGTGCACTCACCTTTTCCACCTCTTTTTTGCAGGTGACAGGCAAAACTTCAAAAAAAGAAAGAAAGAAAGAAAGAAAGAAAGAGAGAGAGAGAGAAAGAGAGAGAGAGAGAGAGAGAGAGAGAGAAAGAAAGAAAGAAAGAAAGAAAGAAAGAAAGAAAGAAAGAAAGAAAGAAAGAAAGAAAGAAAGAAAGAAAGAAAGAAAGAAAAACTAGATGACTGTAGCCATTCAGTTGTGGGATTTGCACTGCTGGAGGAGCTTAAAAAGTCTGAAGTAAAGACTAAAATTAATGGTTCTTACTATCCCACTCAAAGCAAGCATTTGAACCAAATCTTGAGACTTCCTGCTCTTCAAATATCTGTTTACTCCTAAGACACCTCTAACCGCTAAGGGTCCTCATGTCTGCTTCCTACTAGCTGAAGTAAAACAATTGAAATTAATTTCAAAATCATTTTTTAAAAAGGTGCACACTTTCAGGGTCCTTAGTATGTACTTTAGAGTATCTGAAGTATTGGTATCTGATCCACAACAACTCATTCTGAAAGAGATCTGTTAGTTTTTAAGTTGTTATAATAGTTTTTCACCAGTTCCATTAAAAAAAAACAACTTCTGCTTCATTGACTACGTAAAAACCTTTGACTGTGTGGACCACAGCAAACTATGGAAAGTCCTTAAAGAAATGGGAGTGCCTGACCACCTTATCCGTCTCCTGAGAAATCTATATGTGAGACAGGAAGCAACAGTTAGAACTGGATACGGAACAACTGATTGGTTCAAAATTGGGAAAGGAGTATGATGAGGCTGTATATTGTCTCCCTGCTTATTCAGCTTATATGCAGAATACATCATGCAAAAGGCCAGACTGGATGAATCCCAAGCCAGAATTAAGACTGCTGGAAGAAATATCAACAACCTCCGATATGCAGATGATACCGCTCTGATGGCAGAAAGTAAGGAGGAATTAAAGAACCTCTTAATGAGGGTGAAAGAGGAGAGCGCAAAAAACGGTCTGAAGCTCAACTTTTTAAAAAAAACAACTAAGATCATGGCTACTGGTATAATCACGTCCTGGGAAATAAAAGGGGAAGATATGGAGGCAGTGACAGATTTTACTTTCTTGGGCTCTATGATCACTGCAGATGGTGACAGCAGCCATGAAATTAAAAGACGCTTGCTTCTTGGGAGGAAAGCGATGACAAACCTAGACAGCGTCTTAAAAAGCAGAGACATCACCTTGCTGACAAAGGTCTGCATAGTCAAAGCTATAGTTTTTTCCAGTAGCAATGTATGGAAGTGAGAGTTGGACCATAAAGAAGGCTGACTACCAAAGAATTGATGCTTTTGAACTGTGGTGCTGGAGGAGACTCTTGAGAATCCCCTGGACTGATAAAGAGAACAAACCTATCCATTTTGAAAGAAATCAACCCTAAGTGCTCCCTGGAAGGACAGATCCTGAAGCTGAGGCTCCAATCCTTTGGCCATCTCATGAGAAGAGAAGACTCCCTGGAAAATACCCTGATGGTGGGAAAGTGTGACGGCAAGAGGAGAAGGGGACGACAGAGGATGAGATGGTTGGACAGTGTCACCGGAGCTACCAACATGAATTTGACCCAACTCTGGGTGGCAGTGGAAGACAGGAGGGCCTGGCGTGCTCTGTTCCATGGGGTCAGCAAGAGTAACGACTGAACAATAGCAAAATATTAGTAGCACAATGGTATGTCCTGGAGAAACTAAAGTAGCTTTGGATACTTGGGAAGCATTAATAGTTGATTTGTTGCTTTACAATAAACAGGGGGCTTAGAGGCTTACATTTAGAAAAAGAAAATTGACAATGGTATAGACAGTCTCCCTTAATCTTAGAAGCTCCAGATGTGGTTTGGGAATTCCTGTCATAATGCATTGTTCCAAGGACACTCCCATAAACACTGGCATTCTAGGTTATGATGGCTCCTTAGATAAATAAGGAAGAAAACATTTGCTTACCATATAGTATATTTCCTATTTTAATCACACAACATGCAAGAAAATGTCTTAGTTTGTGCCATGAATTGCTCAGCGTGTCTTCTGGTACATTATTCATTTTCTTGTATATGTAGGCAATAAAGGCAATAGAATAAGATAGAAATACCAGAAAAAATGCAACTGAATAGGACAAGAGGAAAAGCAGAAGGAAAAATTGCAAAATGAGAGTCATATAACTCAGGTATTCATCCAGGTTTGTAAAACCAATCCAGTTTATCGGCACATAAGTAAACCATGTCATGGTTTCCTGTTTTATTTCCATCCACCTTTCATCTGGAAAAATAAAATACACAGTTTATTGACATTTTATTTCATTGACTTTTACATTGTTGCTGCATGGTAGAGCAATAGACATTGTGAAACAGAGCAAATCAGCACTCCATAAGATAATTCTAAAAATGAGGAAACCCCAATCCAAAACCTATACTATTGAAACTTCAGATCTCCACTATATGTGTCACAGATGTAGCAGACTATCTTCCCTTCCTCTGTGCCAAATTTAGTAAAGTTTGGGCAAATGGTTTCCACATTATCATTTTTTAAAATTCCAATACAGAAACCAACTACCTCTATTTTCCTGCAGATTTAAAACATATCGAATACATTGAAAAGACTAAATTTGCTTATCTTGACAGAGAATGGTTAGTCCCAGCTGCTTTTTTCTTAATTTGGAAA